TATTCATGTGGGGAATCGAACCCAGGTCTTTGGCGTGACGAGCGAACGCTTTAACCACTAGGCTACCCCACCGCCCCTGGATTTGCATGAATTCTTGAAACGGGGTTTAACATCACAATATCTGTCTCAAAAACATCATGTTAGCTCTATATTATCATGTAATTACAGAACTCAAGTTGATATTAATACAGACTTTATCGGAAGATTCCATTTACGGAGTCTGTATATTGCTCCCTATTACTGATTGACTGAGTTTGGTTTTACGCCGCTTTTAGCAATATTCCAGCAACATCACGGCGGGGGACTCCAGAAATGGGCTTCACACATTGTACCCATGTGGGGATTCGAACCCGGGTCTTCGGCGAGACGAGCCAACGCTTTAACCATTAGGCTACCCCACCGCCCTTGCTCCATATTAAGTAACCGTTATAGAAAATAGGAAACTGTTTGACGTCAAATATCCGCTTCGTCTGAATATAATTCTTGTGTTTATTCTGACAATTGTTTGACCATTTAATTACATTGAAGTCCGGAAAGGGTGGAACGGGTGCAGCGGGCGTTAAACTTTTACCAAACACTGCTGATAATGCGTCATACGTTTACTTAGATGATAACGTGCAGCTAGGACCTTTAAATACACTGGTAGCTTCATTTATCATCAAAGGAGATGTAGAACGGTTTCAAGCACGTCTAGACTTATATCTGCATCGCAGGGTAGAGAAGATGGCAACGATAGTTGTTCTGATAAGACTCTGTTAAGGCAACCAAGGTTCATGCATAAGGGTGTTGTGGGGATTCGGGTTAAGGGGTTGTGGGGTTCGAGGTGAGGGGTGTGTGGAGATTGCATGGAATTCAGGGAAAGGGGGGTGGGGTCTCATGGTGATGGAGTTGCAGGAATCCGGAATTGTTGGGATTGGGGGTTAAGGGGGTTGTTGCAAAACGCGTTAAGGGGCTAGCAGGGAATTCGGGGAAAGGCGGTTTGAGGAATCTGGATAAGGGGGTGGTGAAATACGGTTCCAGGGATTCGAGATAATGTAATTATAAGTACTGGAGGTAAGATAGATGTTGGGTTTCAGAATCAGGGGGAGGAAGGGGTTGCAGTGACGCGATATTGCAATAGCATATGGTTATGCGATGTGCCGTTGAGATTGACATCCAATGATCCAGGGAAAAAATACTAGCGCTTTGAGCATGCACCAGTGCGTGGATATGTGCGCTATATAAATATCCTATTAAAACAATTGTGCCTGCAGGAAAATACCTCATTATTACAAGGGAATTGGTAATATAATTGCTTCGTGTAATCTTAACTTCAGTCTTAAGATGCCATTCTTGCTCTTGCTGTATAACGACTGTAAATATGATAATGTCCGGTCGGTCAACGTCATCGTTGTTACAAATTAATACCCTGTGAAAAAACGCAAATACATGTCGAAGCGAAGTTAAACTCACTCACTCATATTTGGTATTATTTACAAAGGGGAGAAAAGCAAATGCTGTCTGGTCACTTTGCTTTGTAATACATGCGTACAGACCTCACTTCTACTGACTTGGCTTTGTCACAACACTGAAGAAGACATTGTTGAGACAGCTCTTGTTTACACTCCAACTGTAACAGGGACGACGTATACAGCAGATCACAGGACGTGGACAAAGGACATCGTGTCCAGCCACGTCAGGAGAACAGGGGCATGCCGCGCGTCAACAATGGATCTTGTAGACGTATATAAAGATATACGACGTTTTACAGAGATTTTGTTCGTATTTCTTGGCCTCATGAAGTATTCACTCTGTGATAATCACAAGAGTTGCATACACACATACACAGTGGTGGGCAAGTAGTATCCTCGTGTTTCCAATCAAGATGAGTTAACACATAATATTGTTAATTATTACATATATTATGTATATAGTGTTAATATCGACTTAATACAAATTGGAAATCGACAACATATTAATATAGATATATGGATATCTATGTACTACATTGTAAATGATTTCTTCCGATTAATAAGGTCTGATCCACTTCAAAACACGGTACGTTTTGTTTATTGGCCTTAATAAATACCATGTTTTGAATGTAGAGCCAGGCCACCTGAGATCTGACATTGCGAAACAGAATTTGGTAACCAACGCCCAGCGCGAGGTTTCAAATGTTAAATTTAACCCTATTAAAGCAACAGGTGATCCAACTCACACAACGTGCTTATCCTCGTTCCACCATGACAAATAAAACGCGATGTCGAGGTCTTTGCAAAGATACTGAATGAAGCGACATGTTTGCAAGTGAGATGTGTGTGTGATATGCTAGGAAAACCCGTTTTAACTACGCATGGCGTGGTATACGCTCAAATATGAGTGTTTAACATCTCATACCTCACTCGGAGATATGTCATACACCCATATCCACCCCAGATTATCAGGGCTGTTACAGACACTTAAACAAGAATTCCCCACGTGGGTACAATGATCAGTGAAGCCCATTTCTGTGTACCCATTTCTGCCGTAGTATTGCTAAAGGCGGCGTAAAAGCCAACTCACTCACTCACTCACTCACTCACTCACTCAAATAAACAAGCCTTGCAAAGGCATGCCGCTATTATGTCACAACGATCATTCTGACAAAATATATTTGATGTCACATCTTAGAGAAGATGTCAAGCTCTCATGTTGTCCCTAAATCATATGAAACATTCTATTTGATTCAAACCGACACATTATGTCAGGTGTACGTAGTAGCTACGATAACTGGACTGACTGACTGAGTTTAGTTTAACGCCGCTTTTAGCAATATTCCAGCAATATCACGGCGGGGGACACCAGAAACGTACTTAACACATTGTGCCCATGTGGGGAATCGAACCCGGGTTTTCGGCGTGACGAGCCAACGCTTTAACCACTAGGCTACCCCACCGCCCCTCGATAACTGGAGAAAAGTGAGTGAGTGAGTTTAGTTTGATGCCGCTTTTAGCAATATCTTGGCAGGTCTTCACACATTGTACCCAGGTCTTCGGCGTGGTGAGCGAACGCTTTAACCACTAGGCTATCCCACCGCCCCCCGGTCACTTGAGAAGAAAGTACAGTTGTATAAATAGATAGATATGTTTGCTGTGGCGCGGATGCCAAATCAGCTGGTGCTTCGGCCCTCTGACTGACCAGTCAGAATCGATGGCCAAACCACGTCATCAACTGTACTGCGTTAAACCCGGCAGTCCGGGACCTGTTTATACGGAAGCTCCATTTCCCGGACGATCAACGTAAAAAATACGATAAACAAATTTCTTCCTTGTCCAGTGTCGGCTCTACGAATCCGAGTGAATTTTCGTGGATCAGAAAAATCATATCTCAAATAGTAACTCGGTATGGTATCGTCCGTATTAACACGGTTGAACTGTACATCAGCACTTTTCATCTCATAGCCGCGAAACAACCACTACAACAAGCATCTCTTCAGTGGACTGCAGCGATGTTATAACATATACTTGTTGGACCTGTGTCTGAAGTCATCACGACAGTAAGGTGTAAATACCCGAGTAACTGGACAATGTATTTTATTGAATATCACACCTTTACAGTTTGAAGTGAGTGAGTGAGTGAGTTTGGTTTTACGCCGCTTTTAGCAATATTCCAGCAATATCACGGCGGGGGGACACCAGAAATGAGCTTCACACATTGTACCCATGTGGGGAATCGAACCCGGGTCTTTGGCGTGACGAGCGAAAGCTTTACCCATCAGGCTACCCCACCGCCCCTTACAGTTTGAAAATGAATAAGACAATGTTCGTTGTATCTACAACATCAAGGGTTGTGTCTATATAATGTTCAAAATACGAGCATTTTGTATATTTGTTCTGTAGCTGTAGTTATGTTTACTAATATGCCAAAAGTAAACATTTCGTATGACTGTATTCGGTGCCACTAGCATTATATTGAACTATCGGTTGTCTCAATACGTGCTATAGATTACGTATGTTTATATTCCGCCTCTCAATCAATAATCATTTTAGTAAGCTTTTGTCTCACGTTTGTTACTGAATCGAAACAATTCGGCTTTTTCCACAAACTTATAAATCCCATGACATATTAGTGTAAAAGTATCCTTAATGCAACGGGGTATTGAATTAACTAACCGAAACTGACAGTTAATAAGTAAAATAAAAAAATCTATAACTAATACTGATAAAGATCTAGTGTTGAGAATTGGTTAAAATCTCATAACTGATGAATGGTTCATTACTACTGATAAATCATCGAAAATAATTGGTTAGCGTCATTTATGAAATTTGTTAATGCACATAAAAATAAGGAAAAAAAACATGTAGTTTTTTGGCAAAATTTCACATCTTTAAAGGATGACTAGTATGTTAGGAACATAAATTTCTTAGAATCATTAAGAAAAAATTCAATCATGACTTGAAACGAGCTTGTAGTGCTTACGAAATGTAACAGACAAAACCAACCATGTTAAAAATATTGTTAATGAAAACAAGTGTTCCAGAATTGTTTGTGTTCGATTATGAGAAATTATGATCGATTCCTTGGTCGTTTAGCCACTACGACCAATCTTCGATTATTTCAATTAATCGGACACCACTATAGATCAACGTGGAAATGATTATTATGAAATGCTTAACAAAATTATAAGCAATCCCTGTTAAACCCAGTCCATTATACACGTGTGAAGGTTATTATCCTATCTTAATTGATCGATGCTCGTGATTATCACTGGATTGGCTGGTCCAGGCTCTATTACGTACAGACCGCCGCCATACAACTTGAATATTGCTGAGTGCGGCGTTAAACAACAAACAAACAAATTAAACCCTTCAACCTCGATGATAGTGTTTTAACTTTTAAGAGGCATTCAGTAGTTCGAGCAGTAGCCAACCAATCATAATGTAAAGGTATATTTCTCTCCACTATGTAATATATTGTATATTCACGTTGAAGATTAAGACGAGTAAAACTGAAAAGAGAAAGTTATCTTATCATTATCTTACCTTAACTCGGCACAACCCTCCGTGGTTTTCTGTAGGGGATACTGTTTTAAAGAGCGTGCAAATATCTTATCTTGCACTAAGGACCATGCGTTTCTAGCGACGTAGAAATCTACTCCCTGTTCACGGCCTGACAGTTTAACGCCAAATGTCGCCACTCTAACATTGTATTTAACCACATTAACGTAGATTTTTAACCGCTAAAAACAGGTGTGTCGATGGTATACACGAATCCTCAAGACCTTTGACATACAGCACATGGTCTATTCATACCAATACAATAGGCTAAGATTTGTCTCTTTGCTATCTTGTGTGACGTCATCAAGAGCGCGCCTAATGAACAGTCACGCAGTGATCGTTCACGCGGCTGGTGTGAGACGTAAAATATATTTGTGTCTATCGTAATTTGAACATGTTCAATGCATTCGAATCATTATTTTAAATGCTTTGATTTCTAAACATGAGTTGTGGAAACCTTTGTCGTAATTGTTTCTGAATAAATGCTGAATCAGCGTCTGTATATGTAAACAATATCACTGTCAATGAATGGTTACAGTTTAGCTAACTTGTTAACGAGTATACTTTAGCGATTTTCTAGCGAGGGATAAATGAAATAGAGATAGTGTTAGTGTAAATATACACGAAAGTCTACAATTACAACGAATGTTGAGTTATTTGACGTCACAACTGGCGATATTGTATTCCGCATATAACACTGTAGTGAGTGAGTGAGGTTAGTTTTACGCCGCACTCAGCAATATTTCAGCTTTATTGCGGCGGTCTGTAAATAATCGAGTCTGGTGTACCAGACAATCCAGTGATCAACAGTATTAGCATCGATCTGCGCAATTGGGTACCGATGACATGTGTCAACCAAGTCAGCAAGCCTCTCCATCCGATCCCGTTAGTCGCCTCTTAGGACAAGCTTGGGTTACGGAAGATCAATTTTCGAACCCGGACCTTCACGGGTATATAACACTGTAAATAACTGTGTCAGTTCATGGCAAACCAGTGGTTGATATAGTGAGCATAGTCTCACTTAGTCGGATTATGATGACATACTACGAAGCTACCGCGCGTACCTATTGTAATATGATTAAGCACAATTATTGTTTAGGATAGCTACAGGCACTAGGTTGTACTGCATCTGGCAAAATAAGGGATCCAAGTTGACTATAAAAAGAACAATTTGAAAAGTTACATCCACGACACGCCTTAATTTGAATGGATACAACTACAACAAGGTCCAGGAGTGAGTGAGTATGGTTTTACGCCGCTTTTAGCAATATTCCAGCAATATCACGGCGGGGGACACCAGAAATGAGCTTCACACAATGTACCCATGTGGGGATTCGAACCCGGGTCTTCGGCGTGACGAGCGAACACTTTAACCACTAGGCTACCCAACCGCCCCACAAGGTCCAGGAAGATGTTTTTTTCCAGTAAGATGTTCCTGCATCGTAATGGGTTTTCCCCATAACAGTATGTAAGGGGAGCAGGGCAGGGCAGGGCACACTCCCCTTCGGCTGGACGCCTCAGTTGCTAACCTGAGACCGGGAAGCGGGAAGCAGCAACTCTACAGACGCAATGCAAGTACTGATAACCTATACATATACTATGTTAATCTATTGGTGCACTTGAATCAGGTTAAAACAATTAGATTTTTTTACAAACATTAACGAAATATTCTTGACAGGTTTAAACATTATCATGATATTTTACACAACCTAGATATTTATTTCAATATTCGTAACCTTGAGCTGCTATATAAACAAATCTTAAACATGTCAGGCTTAATATCATAATAGTTACGAACCAGTTGTTGCCTCTATTGAAAATGGAGGACAGATAACAAAATTGAATGGTTTGAAAGAGTATGGCTTTCAGCAAGTTTCAAGAAATATCATGGCGAGGAACGCCAGAAATGGACTTCACACATTGTACCCATGTGGGGAATCGAACCCGGTCTTCTGCGTGAAGTTGAGACAGCAACTTTTAGTATCGTTTTAAACAGACTTTTTTATAGACTTTATCTGATATAGGCATATAAAGTGACAATCAGACTACCCCACCTCCCCCAGGGGAACGATTCCACTCTTGCATCTACCCAGGATTGCAAGCTGATATCATATAAAGCTGATCAATAATCTATACGATAACGAGTTGTGGAAACCTTTGTCGTAATTGTTTCTGAATAAATGCTGAATCAGCGTCTGTATCTCTAAACAATATCACTGTCAATGACTGGTTACAGTTTATCTAACTTGTGAACGAGTATATTTTAGCGATTTTCTAGCGAGGGATAAATGAAATGGAAATAGTGCTAGTGTGAAAATACACGAAAATCTACAATAACATGGAATGTTGAGTTATTTGTCGTCACAACTGGCGATATTGTATTCCGCATATAACACTGTAGTGAGTGAGTAAAAATAGTTTTACGCCGCACTCAGCAATATTTCAGCTATATGGCGGCGGTCTGTAAATAATCGAGTCTGGACCAGACAATCCAGTGATCAACAGCATGAGCATCGATCTGCGCAATTGGGTACCGATGACATGTGTCAACCAAGTCAGCAAGCCTCTCCATCCGATCCCGTTAGTCACCTCTTAGGACAAGCTTGGGTTACGGAAGATCAATTTTCGAACCCGGACCTTCACGGGTATATAACACTGTAAATAACTGTGTCAGTTCATGGCAAACCAGTGGTTGATATAGTGAGCATAGTCTCAAATAGTCGGATTACGATGACATACTACGAAGCTACCGCGCCTAAGTATTGTAATATGATTAAGCACAATTGTTTAGGATAGCTACAGGCATTAAGTTGTACTGCATCTGGCAAAATAGGTGATCCAAGTTAACTATAAAAAGGACAATTTGAAAAGTTACATCCACGACACGCCTTAATTTGAATGGATACAACTACGACAAGGTCCAGGAAGATGTTTTTTCCAGTAAGATGTTCCTGCTTCGTAATGGGTTTTCCCCATAACAGTATGTTATGGGGCAGGGCAGGGCAGGGCAGGGCAGGGCAGGGCAGGGCTGACCCCCCTTTGGCTTGACGCCTCAGTTGCTAACCTGAGACCGGGAAGCGGGAAGCACCTACTCTAGAGACGCAATGCAAGTACTGATAACCTATACATATACTATGTTAATTTATGGGTGCACTTGAATCAGGTTAAAACAATTAGATTTTTTACAAACATTAACGAAATATTCTTGACAGGTTTAAACATTATCATGATATTTTACACAACCTAGATATTTATTTCAATATTCGTAACCTTGAGCTGCTATAAAAAACAAGTCTTAAACATGTCAGGCTTAATATCATAATAGTCACGAACCAGTTGTTGCCTCTATTGAAAATGGAGGACAGATAACAAAATTGAATGGTTTGAAAGAGTATGGCTTTCAGCAAGTTTCAAGAAATATCATGGCGAGGAACGCCAGAAATGGACTTCACACATTGTACCCATGTGGGGAATCGAACCCGGGTCTTCTGCGTGAAGTTGAGACAGCAACTTTTAGTATCATTTTTAACAGACTTTGTTATAGACTTTATCTAATATAGGCATATAAAGAGACAATCAGGCTACCCCAGCTCCCCAAGGGGAACGATTCACTCTTGCATCTACCCAGGATTGCAAGCTGATAGCATATAAAGCTGATCAATAATTATATAATCTATACGATTACAATAGTCTTGACATTTAACATTTTTATCATTATTATTCGATACAGTGAAATACTAAAAACATTTTCAATGAAACCAGTAGTTGTTGTTACACGATACGAAATAAATACCATTGGGTCTGTTTATGGATTCAGGATGTAACGGAACCAAAGTGGGCGGTGCCGGTATGACTCGGCAACATGGCCATGCGGATGTCATCAAAGTCAGATGTCTACTGACGTCCTGGTTTTCGGCAAGTGATATCGAGGTGTAGGGTAAGATCGAGGAGTACACACCTGGGTGTCACGCGGACGTCATTAACAGCGAGTACGACGACGACGGCATGTAGTTTTGCGACTGCAAGTGAGAAGATCGTAATGGCAACTCTTATAGTCTTCATGTGGACATCGCCAGCGGTGAGGTGGGGTGAAAGTTAAGCAAGAATATCCCACTCAGACACAGTACAGTGACTCCAAGCCAACCAGTCCTTGTTGTACCCATTAATGCCGAGCGCCAGGCAGGGACCAACAAGTACCATGTGTTAACGTCTTTTGGTATGACGCGGCCGGGGAAGGACATCGCCAGACTTTTCAGACTTTGCGGTCAAACGAAAACCATGAAGTAGCAGGAGACGTATTCACCGCTTCTGGTTTAGAAGATGAAATTATGTATGTGTATGTGATTTTATATGTAGTGCCTCGTAGGCCACACATGGACGGACGGAATATTCATTGTTCTGTGTATCTGTTCTAGGGTGAAGTGTTTAACGTGGCACTATAATATAAACTATTGTAGATTCGAGGCGCAGGAAACCCAGACCCTGACAGGCGTGCCAAGTCTGAGGGCACGGGATGGTGGTACAACGACGACTGCAACTACGTCAACCTCCACTTATCCCACTGCGGTGTTGTGAACGACAGGGTCTGCATGTGATTGTGTGGAGTCTCAGTCTAGTTACAAAAGCCCGAAAGTTAAGTCCAGTTGGTGTCTTTGCCCATGTCTCACCCAGCGATCGTAACGCAACAACTATAGTCAAAAGAGGCGACTCTCTACAGGGGTGGATACAGCTTTTTTGAGAAAGGGGGTTCCACAGTTCATTTTGATCCGTTTTCAAGAGAGTTTCAATGGTCATTTAATAAACTTTCAGTACAAAGGGGGTTGGGAACACACACGGATCCGCCTAGTTTGTTGATTACTGGATTGTCTCCTACAGACTCGATTATTTACAGAAAGCCGTCATATAGCTGGAATATTGTCCAGTGTGGCGTAGAAGTACACTCATTCACTCACTCAAAAGATCGGGTGGTCAGGCTCACTGACCTGGTTGACACGTGATCGTATCCCATTTGCGTAGATCGATGCTCATGCTGTTGATCACTTAATTGTCTGGACCTAACTCGATTATTTACAAACTGCTGCTGGAATATTGCTAAGTGTGCCGTTAAAGTGAGTGAGTGAGTGAGTTTGGTTTTACGCTGC